TACGCCGCGGGGCGGGGCGGGGCAGGCCCTGCGAGGCAGCCAGGGGGCGCTGGTGGCCGTGGGTGATTCGGGGCTGGGTCCCCCGGCCCTTCCAGCTTCCTTTCCGGAGCCAAGAGCAGGCAGCAGGGACCTTTCCAGGCCAGCTAGCCCTCTTTGGCACTGACCTTGGACCTGGCCAGGCCTTTTCCAATGTGAGGGTGACCCCGACCTGCCCTGTGCTCAGGGCCCAGCAGGGTCCCTGGCCAGCACCGGGCCAAGGCAGCGCCCACTTCGTGACCCCGTGCCCCCTTCTGCGGCAGGGCAGGGGCTGAAGAGAGCAGTGGTCTCGCTTTTGCGAGGGGAGCTTGGGGAGCGGCCAGCCTGCATGGGGCTCGCCAGGGACTAGAGGGGAGATGTGGTGGGTGGTGGATGAGGGTGGGGGCGGTGTACCACCCTGGGGATGCCTTGATGGACTCGGCCAGCCCTTGCGGGTCCCAGTCAGTACTGCGGGCTCAGCCCTGGTGTCCTGTTCACACCGCGGCTGAAAAGTGAGGCTGGGGCTCCCTGAGCTGTGGGTGGAAGCCCACCCCCGTGGGCACTGCAGGATGGAGCAGTGCTGGATGGCTGGGCCACGGGCCCTGGGGAAGGGGCAGCGGGGAGCTCTGGCCACAGAGGGCACGAGAGGCCGTGGGCACTGGGCAGCATCTGGGAGCGCTGGGCGTTGGCCGAGGTGGGGCCAGTGGGCTCTGCTGTGGCCCCAGCCTGCCCCTCAGCCCCTCCCACGGCCTCTGTCTTGTCCCCCCAGGCCAGGACCCTCTCCTGTTCCTGCAGTCCCTGCAGACGCTGTGGTCCACGCGGGAGCTGCGGCAGGTGAGCAGATGGGGTGTGGGCACCTGACCGCCAGCCTCTGGGCTACCTCGTCTGAATGTTCTCGGGGACACACGGGGGTGGGAGCCCTGGGGCGAGGCCTGCGAGGTGCTGGGAGACACAGGCCCCTGAGCTCAGAGCAGGAGAGAAGGGCCTGTGCTCAGCACCGGCTGCCGCGCAGCACAGAGCGCCTGGCAGGCCTTGCCAGCGGCCTTCTCTCCCAGGGAGGGTGGCAGGACCACCTGTCTGGATGGTGGCGGGAGGCATGTGGTCCAGCAGGACAAGCCAGCCCTGGCGGGGAGGCTGCCATGGTCCTGCACTGCCACTTGGGGGTCCTGCCCCCCAAAACCATTTCCCACCATGGCCTGTGCTAGGAGGGCCTCTTCGCCTTGGCCTCTGGGGTGGGAAAGGCACTCCCTGACCCCCCGTCGATCCTTCCCTGCACTTTACTCACTAGAGGCAGCAGAAGGGGGTGGCTCTCCTGGCTCCAGGGGAGGACCCAGAGTCCCCGCTGCCCAGGCCACAGGCCCGCAAGTGGCTGGAGGGACAAGGCCCCACCCTCTGGTGCCAGCCTTGCCTCCTGCTGCCCGCCGAGGGCGGGCAGAGAGCCTAGACCAGGGCAGGCTCTCTGGGCAGTGTCCAGAGCAGGGAGCTCCAGGAAGGGCCGTGGGCTGGCCCAGGGAGGAGCCCGGGAGCTGGAAAGGCTCCCACACCTCTTCATGGTGCAGAGGGAGCAACACCTGGGAGACAGGCAGCCGACTTCTCTGCGGAGGGGCAGGCCTGGGCTCTTTGCCCGTCCGAGCTGCGTGGCGGTGGTCACCGCACTCAGGCCTGCGAGCAGCCATCTCCGCCTGTCAGCTGGAGAAAGCCGAAGTTTTTACGAAAGCCCAAAGCCTCATTTTCTGCAGGGGTTTATGTTTCACTTTATTTTATTTTTTTTTAAATGGAACTATAGCTGATTTACAGTGTTGTGTCAGTTTCAGGTGTACAGCAAAGTGATTCGGTTACACACATATGTGTAGAGATCCTCTTTTTCAGGTCCTTCTCCGTCAGAGTCTGTTACAAGACACTGAATACGGTCTCCTGGGCTGTACAGTGGGACCTTGTTGTTATCTGATTTATGTGCAGCGGTGGGCCCCACTAAGCCCGAACTCCTGGCTTGTCCCTCCCCCCAGAGCATCCCCGTGGTAACCATCGTTTGTTGTCTGTATTTGTGAGTGTATTTCTGTTTTGTAGAGTCATTTGCGTCTTTTTCTTAAGATTCCACGTGTAAGTAACACATGACACTTGCCTTCCTCGGCCTGACTTTCTTCACTTAGTAGGATCATGTCTGTGTCCACAGGTTACTGCAAAAGGCATTATTTCATTCTTTTTTTTCCAATGGAGGTTCTGGGGATTGAACTCAGGACCTGGTGCATGCTGAGCACACACTCTACCACTGAGCTATACCCCCCCATTTCACTATTTTTTATGGCTGAATAAAATTCCGTTTTCTGTATGTACTGTAAGCTAAGAGCTGTTTAAGTGTGCAGTTGTGGACCCCGTGGCTTTGAGCTTAAGCCTGCCAGCAGGAGCCTTGCCTGTCGTGGGGCCTGGAGGGAGGACTTGGGACTCTTCTGCCCTGCGCATCCTCCCTGGTGAACCAGCCTCAGAGCACCCCCCCACCCCCGTTCTCCAAACAGTTCACCGAACACAGGAGCCACGGGCTCCATCTGCCGGGCTGGTGGCCGGGGTGTGAGGGGGACACCTCGGCGAAGACTGGGTTTCCCTGCTGGTTGTGGCGCGTTCGGAGCCTCCATTTCCGGATTTATTTCTCCGGGCGCTCCCGCCTCTGCGTCATCACCTCGTCGCCCTGAGGCTCCTCACAGTCTCCTGCTCTTGCCCCTTCCCGGGCCGGCAGCTGATGGGGTGTGCGATCAGCTCCACGGTTTGTCTGTGCCCAAGCCGCCATTTGCCGTCTGTCTCCACTTCTGCCGCTGCATTTCACGCCGTCGGTCCCCGCTAAGCTCTGTTTGTCTTCACGCGTCGGGTTCCACTGTCCTCTGTTTTCTGATTTTCCTTGTGTCTCCTTTGACCAGCGAGCTACTCGCTTCCAAAGACACACAGCGGTGCGCCTGACGTCTGCGCTGCTTGTTTCCGGCGCGAAGGAGCCTGGTCCAGGTGTTTTTATTTTGGGTTGCCCACAGCAGGCTTGTTGGTGGTTCTCCCCGAGTCCACTACACTTGGCGGTCGGTTGTCTCCGAAAGCTTCCACCTGGAGGGGACACAGTTTGCTCACCAGGGCTGGTCCTGGGCTCCAGTGATCAGACAGGAACCATGCTGCCCAGTGTCCAAGCTTGGATACGGGTGATACCCTAGGGCCCAGAAGCAGAGCTACGGTCGGGGGAGTCCGTGCAGTGACCATGAGGTGGTGGGGCAGGCACGTGGGACGGGCTCGGAGGGTGCAGAGGGGCGCTGGACAGACACTGGAGATGTGTGTGTGGCCTGAGCCCCGACGGTGAGGGTGCAGATGACGCAGGGTGTCCTGGGGGCCAGGAGGGCAGTTGTGTGGGAGCAGGGTGCCCTGAAGGTCAGTGGTGCCCCGGAGGTCTCAGGGGCCGGACAGGACAGGGGCCTGGGGGCTGGTTTTGGAGAGCTCTTTGGGGGTTTGCCACGTGAGGACAGAAGTGAGCCGATGGGGGTCTGTGGTCCTCTCTTTAAGACAGAGCAGAAACTGCAGGTTAGGGCGCTGATGGCAGGAGCCAGGGCGGAGGGAACAGACAGGAGGCAGGTAGACGAGGGAGGAGAGCTGGGGGGTCTGAGAGCCCCCCGGATTGGGGGGTGGGAGAAGCAGGAGGTGGAGGTGGGGCAGAACAGTGCTCCCCAAAGTGGGGCCCCGGCACTGCACCCCTGGGAGCTTGTTGGACATGCTCGTTCCTGGGCGCGCCCCAGCCCCACTGAGCCCGAACGGCGTGTGATAACAGGCCCCTGGGGCTCTGGCCCAAGGCCAAGGACTGCGAGCATCGAGCCCGCGGAAGTCAGGGCGGGCGCCAGGGACAGTCAGCTCACCCCCGGAGTGTGAGCCAGGAGTGGGGACCCAGCGGAGCGGGGGGAGCGGCTGCTGCCCAGGGCCCAGCCAGGGAGAGGCGGGAGGAGGAGGGGGTCAATGGGGTCTCAGAGCCGGGGGTCCACAGGATCATCGGTGTGGACGTCGAGACCACCAGGCCAAGGACAAGAGCTGCATGGGAAGGGGGACGTGGGGACACAGGGCCCAGACATAAGTCCCTGGGGCGCCGGGGCCTCAGGACCCTTGTGTGGCAGCCCGCCCCGGGACTGGGCGAGGCAGGAGGAGCCCCGCCGCCGCGCGGGGCGGCTGCGTCTTGCTCTTCGCTTGGTTCCGATGATTCTCTGCTTTCATAATTGTAGGCACACTTATTTTCTATTTTTGTTCCCAAACCGATGCCCTGTTGCCCCTTATTCTCAGAGCTCTAATCACCCTGCCCTTGGTTCCCACTCATGGTGCACTGTTCCTCGTGTGTCCCGCGGTGTCTCGCTGTGAGCTCATCTCAGCGAAGCTTTCTCCCCTGGTGGCCAAGGGCCAGGTCCCCGGGGTGTCGCCAGGACAGACTCGCCGGAGCACACACTGAAGTAAATCCAAGCTCATGTGCTGTGTGGGGCCGTGCGCAGGAGGGGCTTTGCTTTTGTTCCCGGGGTCCAGGCCAGCAGGCAGGTGCCCAGTCACCCTCCCCAGCAGAGCGGCTCACCCCCCCACGACACCGCCTGGGGGCTCCTGCCCGCCTGCTGTCAGCACCCCCACGCGACCTGGGGACCCTCACTGTGCCTCATTCCTCACAGGCCTCCTTCCCTCCTTGGGTCTTTGTGGACGAAGAGTTGCCAGGTTTCCTGAGTTCGCCCAAATGCTCCAGGGGAAAGTCTGCATTTCAGTTTTGGTAATCACGCCAAGTTGCCACAGTGCAGAGGCTTCAAAGTCACGCTGAAGCCGAGTGGATGTCTGCCCTTGAGCGTCCTGGGGGCGGCCATCCTGTGTGCGGCCATGGCCCACATTCTGGCTCACAGCCCGAGACCCCAGCCACGCAGTCCTTTGACCTGTGGGCTGAGCACAGTGGAGGCATTTGTGCGGGGAAGGCTCACACAGACAGGACACAGGTGACACCTGGGGCTCCAGACATGGGGAATGCTCCCAGGTGAGAGCTCCAGGCTGGCCTGGGCCCCAGAAGCTATCGGCATGCAAAGAGTTGAGAAGGGCCATGGGGCCAAGGGCAGGGGGTCTGTGGCCCCCTGATGACCACCTCTTCATTGCTCTCATTGCTGGGTGCAGGGGCCCTGTGACCCAGGCTTTGTCAGCAGGACCCTGGGGAGGTCACATAGGCTGCTGGAAGGTCTGCACTTTCTGGGGAAGACGCCAGGGAGGATCAAGGAGGCACCTGGGTCCTCAGCGGTGACGCAGCCAGGAGCCGGGGCTGTGGACCCCATGGGGGTGTGGCTTGTGCAGGGCTGCACCTGCCTTGGCACCTAGGCAGAGCGAATGTCACCTCCACGGTGGTCCCGGGGAAGGTGCAGGGCCATTTATGCTTGGGGTGTAGATGTGCACCTCTCCACCCCAGACCCCTTTGCACTGGGCACTGTGGGCTGAGGTCCGAGATGCTCCCAGCAGCAGCAGGATGGGAAGCCTGGCCGCATCGGGGCCAGAGGAGTCACGTCCAGCTTTTACAGGTTGGACCACAGAGGAGTCACGTCCAACTTCCTGGGGCCCAAAAGCTGTACCATCAGGATCCCTCTGAGCTGCTCTTCGGAGCTTCTCAGGGGAGGGGGCAGAGCCGGCCCTCAGCTGCAGGGCCAGCAAATCAGTGGTCATCTCAGAAGGACATGCCCACTTCCTCCCTGTGCCCTTCCCAGGCTTCTGCTGGCCAGCACGGGAGAGCCCCTCCGTGGAGGGGCTGGACGCCCCCAGGGGAAGCAGCAAGTCCTGCGTGGAACGGGTCTGGGGCTTGGGGACTACGCCACTGAGAAAGGGTCTGTGTGGCCTCGAGGGGTCCTCTTGGGCATTCTTCTCTCCTTCCTGCAACGCACCCAGACCCAGCTGCCTGTCACCTTGGTCACAGGAAGGATTGTGGCTCCTTGGGAAAAGCCTTTTTTTGTGGGCACTGGTCAGTGGGCACTTGGCCCAGAGCTGGGGGAGGGGTCTTTCTCCAGCCCCTACCCTGGCCCGAGGCTGGCTGCACATCCTCTGCTCTGCCGGTGGCGAGGGGCCGGGCAGGCGAAGGCTCCGCCGGACTGCCCCCAAGAAACCCCACACAGTGTTTGTAGTGATTCCTGGAGCCTGCCTTCCAAATGGAGAACCTGGCTTGTGGGCAACAAGGAGCCGCTGTGCTGGAGGCTGAGCGTGGGGTCCACATGCCTGTAAGCCAGGACCAAGGCCGGAGCAGCATCCTTCTAGAACTTTCCTCCCCCCTCCCTCGCTGCAAGGGGGGAGCGATCTGGTGGTGGCACTGCCCCTCCTCCGGCAATGCGGGCCAAGGCCCCATGGCTCTGTAGGAACCACGGCCCCTGCTGGCGCCCCGAGGCCCCTGAGATGTGCAGGTGGCCTTGCCGGCCCATCCTGGGGGTTGACAGCTCTCCTCGGGGTCTGTTTGAGGCTGTCTCAGGTGAGCTGCCGTGGCCACAGCAAGGGCAGCCCCTTCCAGAGGGGCCTTGGGCGGGAGGGCTGCTGCGCACAGCCTGCTGCCTCCTGCCGCCCCGGGCTGGTAGAGGGAGCTGCACTCACCTGCGCAGCTAAAGCCGGTGGAGGGGAGCGGGCTGGCCGCAGCGTCAGGGCCCAGGCTCATGTGGCCACGCGGAGGACGCCGGCTGCCGCAAAGTCCGTCGTGGAATGCACGCTGTTCCCTGGACACGTGTGGCAGAGAGCACGGCTGTTCCTTCGTGGCTCTGACATGCCGCCCAAACCTCCGGCAGCGCAGGAGGTGGAAGCGGAAACGAAAGGCATTTTTCGTTTGGGATTTTCTTTCCCTTTTTTGTTCCCTGTTGCCTGCTGGGCTCTGTTGCTTTGTCACTGTCCCTGAGGGACCAGTGCCGTGTCCTGTGCGAACCACGCAGGTGGTCAGGACGCGAGGAGCGCTGCCGGGGTCCGGCGTTGGACCAAGCCCGGCCTGGCCTCTGGGGGACCATCAGCCTAGACAGTCGCTGTGTCCGGCCTGGGTGCAGCAGATGGGCCGTCTCGGCAGTATAGAAGGTGGGGAAGGGCAGTGCTGGAGAGATTCCACTTTACGTGTTGCCATGCAAGGAGGAAGAGCTTGTGACAAGGTCTCTCTCCACAGCTCCGGGAGGAAGCCTGGAGGGGATTCGCTGCTCTGGATGACCCGCTTACCAGCCTCCTGGACATGCTGGACGGCAGCCAGGGTTGGCGGGGGAGGGGCTCCTCCCTGGAGGCCTGGGTGGCCTGTGAGCTGAAGCGCTGGCTGCAGACCCGGCCGCGTCCCAGGCCGGCCCAGGTGAGCCTCATCTGTGGCCCCCGGCCTGGTGCAAAGGCACGTCCCTTCCTACCCCGTCTGCCTCGTCACAGTGGGCTTCGCGTCCTCCTGACTGGGCCTCTGCAGCCCGGGAGCATGCCCACAGTGGGCAGCTCCTGACAACCATGTGCTGGGCCGGCCTCGGCCCCCTTGCCTGTGACCTAGCCCTCCAGGCTCTGCCCGCCCTCAGGGTCCACCCGCAGGCCCTGGGCTGCAGGTGCTGGTGTCCCGGGCCAGGCCTGCTCAGGCACCAAGCCCCTGCCTACATCCAGCCCCGTGACCCTGGCCACAGGCCACTGCCTCCCCTGAAGCTGGGTCTGGGATTTCCAGGGATGCCCGGGGCTGAAGCAACTGCAGGCCCGTGCGGTCAGGGTCCTCGCCGAAAGCCCCCCAAGTCTTGTGGAGCCGCTGGTCAGCATATTCCAGCTGCAGGATGCAGACCGGAGCCCCCTGCTGGCACACATCCACCGGCTCCACCAGGAGGGCAGGTTCAAAGAAGTGAGTGAGACTCCCTGTGGCTCTGGGCCCTGGGGGGCGGTTCAGGGACACGCCTCCTCTTCTCTGGCCAGAGGCCAGTCTTCGTGTGGGCCGGGGTGCGCAGACGTCAGCCAGGCTGGGGCATGCAGGGCCCCCCCGCAGTGTCCTCGCCAGCCCTCTCCTGTGGGGGACTGTGCAGGGGGCTTGGGTCTGGTGTGCAGGGTTTCGGGAACTAGCCACCCAGGGGCCTCGCTCAGGTTCGTGCCTGGCGTGGAGGTCCTGGGAGCCTTTCACACACTGACCCAGCTGAGAAAGAGGCTGGACACGGCCCCCCTAACCCCCCGCCCAGTCTACATCACAGGCAGGGTCCTTCCTCCCCAGGTACCCACGGGGCTCCCACAGTCAGTCAGCTGGGTAGGGGCGCCCGGCTGTGGTCCCGAAGCCCGCGTGGCAGAGCTGCTTCCCTGGGACTCCACGGCCCTTCGTTAATTCCCAGAAACGCTCCCGGGGGTGGGGGTGTAGGACAAGCTGGCAACAGTCCCTGCCACACGGGCCCCCTACGGGCCCAGGTCGGACGGCTGGGCCTGCTTCTGTCTCCTGCCCCTGCCCAGACTCACCCACCAGGTCACTCGGGCCCTCGCTGGTGTGGCCTCCGGGCGGAGAGTCAAGGGCAGACACTCACTGCAGCCACGGCCGTGCCAAGCGGGCGGACTGGCCACTTTGCTCCTGGGCTTGGCCAGTGACAGTGTGTGTCCTGGTGTCTGCAGGGCACCTGCATCCTCCTGGACCTGTCAGGGACCCTGCCCTGAGGTGAGGGGCTGTGTGCTGGGTGGTGTCCACTCCTGTGTGTTTGCTGGGTCACTTGGGCTGGGTCAGGCCAGCGGTGGTGACCTGTGGGGGTCTGAGTCCTGAGGGCCCTACTGGCCCCCCGCCACCACCATCCCACCGGCCCCAGACAACCCGGGACTGGCCCTGGCAGGACACTCGTGTTTTTCAGACCAGTTGCGGGGCTTGGGCTGGCATTTGGGGCCCAGATGGCTCGCCGTGTCAGTCGAGAGTCACCCAGTGTGTGTGATGCAGGACGGGCTGGGTCAGGAGGACAGACGTGGGCTCAGTGGCTGCGGGTCTCCGGGTGAGGACCTGGGGGCTTCTGGAAGGGCTTCGCTGGGTTTGCGGAGTCTCCTTTGTGAGCAGTGCGGTCTCTGAGGGGAAGATGGAGCCCTGAGGTCCGTGGGCCAGCGGTAGGCGAGGAGGGCGTGGCAGGCTCAGTGTCCTGGGGCCTGGTGAGGACCCCTGGGAGTGACTGGGCCCCTCGTGAGGTAGCTCTGAGCTGCAGCTGCGGGTCCAGGGGTGCCCTCTCCCTGAGGGGCGAGCCCCGAGGCAGGTTCCGGGTCCAGCGCCCCCACCGCCTAGTCAGGCACAGAGAGGAGCCCGATTCAGGGGCAGAGCTGCTCCCGGGCGTGGGGTGCGGCCAGCGGCTTCCTGGGAGGAGGCCCCGTGGAGACTGAGCGGCCCGCAAGGTGCACGGCCCAGGCCAGGCGGCAAGATGGCGGCTGCGGGGAGCCCGGGCTGAATGGGCGCTGCGCCCGCGGGGAAGGCCGGAGGCAGAAGGCAGGCTAGTGTTTCGAGTCTCCTGTTACACTCCAGCCTTTCAAAGAGCGTCTGGGCCTGCTGAATGCGCCTCCCTTGCGCTCCGAGGCAGGAATCCCACACAAAGGGGGCTCTTGTCCCGCACAGGCCCCTTCTGCGAAGAAAAGCCATTGTCCCGGAGCGGGGCCGCCCGGCAGGCGGTGCATGCTCCAGTGCCCACCGCCGCGCCCGCCCGGAGGGGCCACATTCAGGCCTGTCCGCTCGGATTAGCAGGGACTCACGACTTAATGTGCGGCGATATTTCACGTCCAGGGCGGCGGCTGGCCCTGGGTGGGATGAATGCCTGCTTTTGTCTATGGAGTTATTTTATTTACATTTTTTAAACAGCTTATCAAGGTAAAAAGATAGCTTTGCTTAAAAAAAAAGCCCCTTGGCTCCAGGCCCGCGCTGAGCCATGGAGGTGGGAGGCAGGCCTGTCCTGGGGCCCGAGGATGCTGGGTCTGGGCACCTGCCTGGCCTTCCTGCTGGCCGAGCAGGGAGTTCGATGAGACGCTCTTCCCACAGTCACTGCCCCAGCTCCTCCGGGTCTGCTTAGTTATTTTCCCCTGGTGGCTCTGGGGCCCGTCCACTCGGAGGTCCTCGCAGCCCCGCCCTCCCCCAGGAAAGCCCACTCTGGGCAGCTTCCTCCTGCAGCTTCGGGCCCCTCCGCTCCTCCCCCTGTGCCTGCTGTGTGGGCCAGGATCTGGGGCCAGTCACAGGCACCTGGGCCAGCAGGAGATGGTCTCCCCACACCTGCTGAGCCTCCAGCGTGACCAGGCGGTGAGTGCTGGACAGTTGTCACCTCAGCAGAAGTTCAGACTGAGAAATGACCTGAAACCAATTCTAAGCCAGGCCCAAAGAACCAAGGTGGAGGCCACGCCGGGGGTGGGGCAGGAGGAGGTGGCTGCCAGCTGTACCCCCAGGTAACCATGGCCACCCCCAGTGCAGCCAGGGTGCCCTCCTGTGGCTGGGTGAGGCCAAGCGGCCCCCTCCTTGTCCTATGCCCCCCTCACAGCCTCCAGGATGCAGATAGCCCCAGGGCCGCGGGTGCAGAAAGAGGACACTTCCCAGACCGTCCCTGGGGCGTCCATGGCCTTCCAGCCCTGGGCACGCTGACCACACCCCTCAGCATCCACACAGGCTGCCTGGCTGAAAGAGGGCACCCTGGTGAGCCTCAGAGCGCTCCAGCCGGGCCTGGACGGAGGGCTGCTGCTCTGGAGGAACAGGGAGGAGAGGGGCTCCCAGACCCCTCTGTCGGCATCGTGTGGCCGGGGTTGTGCGCCCACCTCACAGGTGCGGCCTGAGCTGCACACCTGCATGGATGGGGCCAGGCTCTGAGCACTGCTTGCCTCTCCACACTGGCTCCCACACTCCACACAGACAGGGGACACTGAGCGGACTGAGTGGGCACCACTGACCGGGGCCCTGACTGCCGGGAAGCAGGTGAGCCAGTTGGGGCCAGCGTGGCGGCCCCGGTGCTGAGGTGCTGCTGGCTCCTAGGAGGAAGGGAGCTGGGCAGACAGGGAGGGGACATTGGGGCTGGGTGAGTGCTCCCCCCGGCTGCCCTCCAGGGGCCCTGCTGCTCCGAGGGCAGTGCCCAGCCTGCCCTCAGCCCCACCCTGACCACCTGCAGCCCAGGCCGCCGCCTCAGGCTACTCCCCAAGCCTGAGGCCTTGTTCTGGGACTCAAAGGGGTTCCTGGGGTGGGGGGGGCGGGTCCACTGAGGAGCTGGATCCGTGGACAGTGGAGCCTGATAACCAGGCAGAGCCCCACCTCCCCCTTACCTCTGAGGCACCAGCCCAGGGCCTGGTCTGGAGAGTGGGAGGGTCCTGGGTCCCAAGTCATCCCTCCCACAGCCCCCTCTCCAACCGTGGCCTGGCCTGGCCTGACCAAGCCTAGGTGGAGATGTGGGCCCAGCAGGAGCCCGGAAGTCACGCAAGGGGATAGCAGATTCAGGACACAGGTGATGGGGTTCTGATCACCCCAGCTTTTGAACATGGTGTGTAGGGCCATCAGAGTGTGCACTGTGGCCTTCCTGGGTGGGAGTCCAGATCTCCCTCAGCTTCTCAGGGGCTTCCTGTCCAGAATCAACAATCAGAGCCATCCAGGGAGGCTGGCGCGCCCCCAGGGATGGTCCCCATGTTGGGGCACGTCCCCCCTCCCCTTGCCCTGCCCCCCTCCCCTCGCCCTGCCCCCTCCCCTCGAACCCTAGCTCCTCCCCTGGCCCTGCCCCCAGCCCCTCCCCCAGGCCTATTCCTGGTCAGGCCCACCCACCTCCCCCGCTTCTGC